TACGACTTCGCCTCCGTTCGCAGCCGTTATTACAGCGGATCTACATTGTTGAGTATATGGTTTGGTCGCTAGTCTAAGCATACCGCGAGCATCGAGAAGAAGCTGTTGCATAACCGCCTGTATCTGGGAGAAATCTACTTCACTTGACACGAGATATTCGAATATAAACGAAGTGAATAAAAAGGGATATCAAGTAACACATAATCTGTAGAATAACTAACATTAAATAGAGATCCAATGTTCAGCACAATTAGAATCTGAAATTATATGTGCAAAATCTTTTTTATAAATATCGCATTTTCAATGTATGTATTGTATTTATGATGTCTATTAAGATCTAATTGTTATTCGCATATATATTCGCATATATTTATTTATATATCTATAACAATATAATTAATGTTCTCTCATGTTCTCCAAATTTAATCGATCGAATTTATTTCTATTTTTTAATTGCTTTTTTTTTCCATAAAATTATTTAAATGCGATTTCATTAGGAATATAGATTTCTTTGTTATCGGCTAGTGAGATAAATTTCTTCCTGATTATAAGTAGATATTCTCTTATCGTCTACTGTTATCCAACTCTTGTTATCAGATACAGATAAAATAGTTACTTTAAACTTTTATTATAGATTTTTTATTTTATTGCACAAAAATAATTCTTTCTTAATCGAACAACACTTTTTTAATATAAGTATAAGAGTAGTCGCAATTTTAATCTTTAAATATCTTCAATCTCTTGAAGATAAAATTGCTATAAATATATCTCTCTTTTTACTTTGTGCTACTTTGTTAAGGCTACTTATATTAACGTATTCACACTACAAATAAAAAGTCTTGGAATTTCCGCGACATTCAGAAACAAAACTTATTTTAATATTCATTTTATTATACTTTTTATTACATTTTATTGCTTTCTTATACGAATATGGTAATAAAAAAGATTATTCTTTTACTTTTACTCTTTTGACACTGAATTTTAATGATAGTAAAATATGTTTCAAGTATATATATATGTATATTGCATAAGATATTTTGAACTACGAAAATAACTGATGAAACGATACGATGATTATTCATGTCACCTTGTTAACATAATATAAATTAATGTTTGCTCTTTTCAACACCATATAAGACGAATCTTGATTTCTTTTTATTAATACAATTTCAAATCAAATCAATTCTTTGCAAGACGGAGAGGAAAAAATGTTTAAATATGAAGATTTTCAAAATTATTCAATTCACAATACAATAAAGAAAGAGAATAAAATTAAATATAATTAATCAAAACTTTTCAATACAATTATTTTTTCGTATAGAATTTATATAGGATTTTTATTATAATAAAATGCAAAAAATAATTCCTAAAGTGAAGAATTGACTTAAATTATTAGTCTCGAAATTTAAAATTCTAAAAACGGTCTCGCAACTATCAAACGAACTTTGCGCTCAATATTCTTTAAAGTCGATATTCATAATCTGTTCCTACATTTAAAACGATCTTAAATAGGTAGAAATTTAAAATGTTATAAATCAATCGCAAAACCATATCAATGTCATAAGACATTATTTGAAGTGGTCTTAAAATAAGAACGCACTAAACGGTATGATATGAATATCGGCCTGTAAATTGTACAAATAATACATATCTAGTAGCGATCAGATTAACAGACACGCAATACGTCATTCTTTTTTATTGCAATAATGAGTAGAAATCGTGATATCATGATAATCGTAGTCATGATAATCAGTCGCCGATCACGGTGGCATTATCGTGGAAACGTGTTTCACCGCATTATCACGTGCTCCGCTCGCACGATTCACACTCGAGGAACACGCACGAATCGCAGACAAGACTTACCTGTCGCACGTGTCAATAATTGCAACCAATCGTGATACATGAGCCTCGAGTCACACCTCCGGGGGTTCGAGGTTGATCATGAGCTTGTGATTGGATGATGAAGTTTTGTACTTCTATTTTCCTTAAAGTACCGTAAATATAATATCTGACGCTACTCGATCTTGTAAGACGCTAATAAATGTTTGCACGCAAGGCTTTATCTCGTAAAACCGCAAATTGTTGCACAATTTCTAAAAAACATACGTCAATCGGCGTACACATTGCCAACAATCCCGATGCTTATCTCAAAACATCGTAAAAGCATCTTAATCAAAACTCTGATATATTTTTGATTAGCAAGATCTTTTAGATGAAAATTTGATTATTTATTTTTTCTTATTTTTCTTGATTTTCGTTCATTTGTTTTCCCTTAAAAGAGAAATATATGACGTCTTTGTAACTATTCACTATTCTAATGTTTGTATGTTTCATGAGAAATATGTACTGAGTATTTAAAATTTTAAATACACGATTAGAAAAAAGATCTCCGACGATCAATTCTTCAATAATAATGTACAACCTTCGGAACAATTATCTCAAATTACTATTATCAATATCAATTATATTACTATTAACCTGATTATAATTAACTCGTGAAAATAAATCGCAGCTTTACGCATTAACGTTTCTCTTTCTTTAATCATCTTTAATCATTGCAACGCAATTTAATATTAATTACGCGTATTTTGTATCAAACAATTACCGCATGATAAATGTGTAGACGCGACAATAATTTTTATGTAAAGTTGCAGCGAAACAAGTATACAAGAAAATTTATCATTTTCGCATAAATAATAATTAAATAATTTCGCATAAATAATAGATGAGAAATATGAGAATAAAGATTTGAATTCTATTTTGAATTCTTTTTAATAATTAAAATAATATAAGTATCAAATATAGCGATACATCGTTAAGATAATCGATAAGATAATACAACATTTTTATGATTTAATTTTATAAATCGGTAAATACGTTTTGTATCATAATTTATCATCTATACGATATGGAATTAATATGAAAGCATACAAGAAGTACATTTACACTCACCAAAAGCGTGACATAAGAATATCAATAATCAATTGCGTTATATCAACTTTGATATAACTGTTCGTATCAATATTTTTGAAACAGAATAAAATTGTATGTGTTACTAATCTTTAATCAATTAAATTGTTAAATGATTAAGACAGAAATCAGAAATTGATATTATTATCAACATTCAAAAAGAATCACATATCATATCAAGAAGCACCGATCATCTCGCTTTAAAATATAATGAAATGATCTTGGACTCTGTTATTTCAAATTTAAAAAATTAATAAATTCGACGTACAAAGGACGTGCTTATTTTATCTACTTCAAATATAGAGAAATAATGAAATGGATGTTACATCTTATTAATAACAACAAAAGGTAAAATGCTACTAGAAAAGTAAAAAATATATATATAAAAAATTTTCTTACACAATATCTAAATTTTGTCATTATGTTAAGATATTTTTATTAACATACATACATACACATGCCATAAATATTTAAATATAATATAAATTTTAATGAATATGTCAACAGTATATGAAAAGAATTGGAGGAAAATTGGAAAAATCATTTATACACATAAGATAAATGATAATTTATTTGAGGAAATACGATCAGAAATAGATGCGATAAATCAGATTTGAATCAATGTTTAATGTGCAACGACAGTATTATGCAACAATATTACGCATTTCGTAAAACGTATTATTATTCAATGGACATTACTTATAAGGCAACATTTCTTGGAAAAAATACTTAAAGATTGGATATTTAAAAATTACAGATTACTATTAGAATATTATTATAATATAGAATTTAAAAAATTAAAAAATAATATTTTAGATTGACATTCTACTTTTTTAAATTGCAACATTTATTACATTTAAACATTTATATTATTTTAATTTTAATACTAAATTTTTTAGTAAATGATTACATGATTAAGATTCAATTTTGAACTTAAAAATACTGAAAAGATAAATAATATTTTTCAGATTTTAAATAATTGTACATGAAATGAAAATTCATAAGCGTCTTATACATATACACTATATATATATATATATATATATATATATATATATATATATATACACACACACACACACATACGATTTAATTAGATTTATAGAATTATAAATGCATTAATACACATTAACACACATCTATTTACTAATCAAATGTACTTTAAATATCTTTTTTTTTCAATTTGTAATAAATACATTATTCTCTATATTCTTCGAAATGTCGCATATAAGATAAAAATAACCGTGTAACGAGTCACTATGTATAATTATATCCAATTACATCCTTTCGTAACCAAACAATTTTCAAAGAGGATCTACAATAATAAAAACTATAAAGAAAAAACTATAAAGTTATACAATAGTTGCTTTATTTCAAAATAAAATGCAAAATGGAAATAGAAAAAAAATACAAAACGAATCATACGTAAATTTTTTTGCGAATACTCATATACACATGGAAAAAATATTAAATATGCAAGAAGAATCACAAGCCAATCGAACTCAATATAAGTAGGATACATTTTGACATTATAATAATTTTATTAGTTTGATGACTGATCCCTACATTTCCCCTTTGTCACATATGATGGTCGTTTAATGCAAAGCTAATAGCATGTCAAATTAGGAACAGCTGATTGCGAGTGAACTATTTTAAACTAACTGATTTATGCTGATTGCAGTATTAATATCACGCAATTGTGAAAATAAGAAGAAATAAAATTAATAAAAAAAGAATGTTATATAACAAATATCAAATAATGTAAAGTTCATTTTTT